CGTGAAGTTCATTTTTGATCATGGCTATTTAGGGCTATATATGCCTCACTTATCTGTATGTTTAATGCTTTCCCTCTATTTTGGAAAGCTTTTTGCTATTATTTTTGTAAGCAGGTTTTTCATGAACTTTGTGCTGTCTTCTGACTTTTCACTTATTTTAATTAATCTTAGATTAGTTTTCTTTGCATCATCTAGCAGTTGTTAGATCCATTTTTCATATTCTTTTTTTGATTTTTAAGGTATCTCTTGAGTAATTGTTTGAGATCATCCCTATCTTCTTATTCTGATATTCTGACCTCATATTGGTCACTTCTGCTGCCCATACTTTTAATATAATTTTTAATCTTCTGGATTTCTGTTTGCAGCCTTTTCATGGACTCTAATTCTTTGTTGATTAACAACATGTTTTGTATCATTTTGTTTCACTCAGCTACATTTTTCATTAATGTCTTCTACTACCCCCCTGATTGTTTTATTATATCCATTATTTGTTTAGTTTAGTTATATCTTCTCTGAGCCAGCTGAGCACCTTATTGATCTGTTTTTCAATTTTTGAATTATCCTGTTATACTTTCTAATAATTCAGCTGGGTGGCTTTTGCTTTCCACCCTCTTGATGCCCCTAGTTTCAACTTTGTGGGAGTTGGCAGTTTTGGGAGACATTTTCTTGCCTTTCTTCTGATGTTTCTGTTGTTTTTTGTTTGTTTGTTTTGTTTTGTGTGTAGGTTTGAGGTCCCTTATAGTGGAAAGACTTTGTTGCTGGTATGGAGACCTCTTTAGTTAGTGTGCTTTTTAGTGATACACTCAGGGCATAGGCAACTAGAGTCCTGTGCCTCTATCTCAAGATCTGACCACCTCTGTTAATTTGGGAAGGGAGGATGTAGTGTAATTATCCTGTCACCCATTTCCCCAGGAATGGATCACTGTATTGTTAATGTCACAAAGGTAATCTGGGTATTGGTATACAGAGAAAATCTATGAATAGCAACAACTGTGAGACCCTGGCAGTATCTAAGAAATCAGCAAAAGTAATATCATCCAGGACAAAATGGATATTGACTTATCATAAGAACCAATAATTTACCAACTTTAACCTTAGAAAAGAAATCTATAATTATAACATAAACAATAAGACAAAATATTGACATACAGAAAATATCTACTAAATGCAATAACTATACTGCCACTAATGATAGAAAATAATTCAACAGTAGTAACAATGTTAATTAGCTATCTAAAAATTAATAATCTTAATGGTTATACTATTAAAGATAAAAGGGGTTGGAAATGAGAGAATGGTGGAAGAGAATTTGAAAAATTAAACAATGGGAGATGAAAAAGAAGGGGAAAAGTGAGACAAAAGATTATACTACATATATATGGATATTTATAGAATTAGATGAAGGTAACAGGAAAAAAAATCAAATGAGAAGTAGAAGATAAAAAGTTGAAGAAAAATATGGAGAATAAAAGTAGAAAAAAATTGAAAATATTAACAGAAAAGGGGAAGAAAAAGAAGAGAGAAAAAAAGAAAATTTCCCCAAATCTGATTAACCAGTGAAGAAGAAAGAGAAAAGAGAGAGAGAAAAAAGAAGAGAATGAGTCCAAAAACAGAAAAAAAATTTTCTCTGTATTTTTGAATTGAAGGGTTTCCTCCCAAGTTCTGTAGCTTTAGAGTTTAGTAGGTCATGGTTTTCTCTGCCTAGGCTTATAGGTTTGTGGGTTTGTGTGCCTCTCCCCCAGCCCCAGCGGCCCCTCTGTTTACCCTAGGCTGTGGCAATGTCCATGCTAAGATGTGTCCTTGCTTGTGTTGGTAGATAGGGAAGGCAATCAGACTTCATATCTGTGCTGGATGTAGGCAGCAGGGCATGGGTTCAAGTACTTAATGCTGGCATTTTCAAACCCAGCCATTTCTGAGCACAGCTCAGCTGGACCTGGCTTCTCATCACTGAGAGTGGGGGCCATGTCCTTCCTGGCCTGAGCTTAAACTTCTCAGGGGATCTCTTTCTAGCCTCCTGCCTGTCTTCAGCTTTCTGCTGTTGCTGTGTCTCACCGAATCACTGTGGGAAGGTAACACTGGTAACCCTGCTGTGAAGTTGTTTTTTGGTTGTTCTGAATTCCAGATTTAAATAATGAACCTCTTCCCGAAATGGTGCCTGATTAAACATTTTCTGGCAATATGGCGAGTGCCCATGCTGAAATCCCTCTCTCACTATTGCCTGCCATGTGGAAAGAGTCCCCTCAGAGCAAAACCACATACTCCTTTTTCAGTTCACAGTATCCATGGGCTCATGCCACCACCCAGTTTATCACCATCTCTTCCTGGATCTTTTAGCCCTGGGTGCTTGCCTTGCTTCTATGGAGCCAGGTTCTCCTCCCTATGAGCTATGAGCCAGGGAGAGAGTCCAGATTATTTGGTTATTTTCTCTGCATTGTGGATTATCTCTCTCCAACTTCTGTGTGGCTTCTAATTTTCCTGTCTCTTCCTTTCTGATTCCCATTAAACTATTTCACTTTTTTTTTTTTTGCCAAGTTATTATTTTCCAGTGTCTGAATTCTGGATCTCAGAGAGGCTGACTTTTGCTACTGATCAGCACTCCACCATTTCTCCTTGTGGTTGTTATTTTAAGCACTAAGTTTTTGGATAACTGTCCAGCCTGTCAAGTATGCCAAAAGCCCTTCAGTTCCATAATAACTACAGGATCATTGGATGCCAACAGAGGGAAGGGAGTGATGAAACAGGAAGCTCCTGGAGGAGGAGGAGGAGGTTGAGGCCAAGAGAGAGGGGCACTGAAAGAAAACTTGAACTGCTTGCCAGTTTGGCCTGGGGCTAGTTACTGCAAGAATAGCTGTGTTTGGGCCAGCAGTCTCAATGTTGTTTCATAGCTATGAGCTTTTCCTTAGGTAGACCTGCTGTGAAACAGCATGCCAATGTGGTGCTAGCTAGAATGAAGCCAAAGCTATATGTTCTCTTCTCCCATGGTCACTTTGGTTTTGTTTCATGTCTAATGACTGCTAACCTTGAACATCAATATGTATAGGCAGACTTGAGGGAAACCAGGACAGAGTCACAAGTTCAAGTGTACTACTGAAAATGTGCTTGCTTGTTTCCTTGCTCATGGAGAGTCAGAGAAGTCATTGTCATGTAGGAAAGATGTGGCATTTTAAGCATTTATCATTTAATATGACAAGATTGTTTTTCTCTCTAGTATCAAGAAAAACAAACCAAAAATTGTCTTTGTTGGGCTGGGGATTTAGCTCAGTGGTGCCCGCCTGTCTTGCAAGTGCAAGGTCCTGAGTTCAATCCCCAGTACTGAGAAAAAAATAAAATAAAACAATAAAAATTGTCTTTGTTTCCTTTGCTCTTAAATCATAGTTCTTTTAAGGAAAAATGGAGAAATGAAAGTTTTCCAGGTCCATAAATAGTTTGCAAAAGTAATATCTCTTTTATTAATGTGTATAGGATTTAAAAGAGGTATGATGAAGTATATTAGCTACATGAATATTACTTTACATAGCATTTTAATTGTAAAAGACAAGCCATTTTTATTGCTTCCTGATATTTACCATCTAATATTCAAATTAATGCAGAAATAATAGCCACCATCTCACTTAATGGCAGCAGTGAGTTACATTATAAAAGTTTGTTATATAAA